CTACTCTCTGTACTTCTGGGGGGTTCAAGTGGTGACCGGAAAGAGAAACCCTCTGCCCTATGTTGATTGAAGGGTTGGGTTGAGGAAAGGTTGCCGACTGGTCAATGGGTGAATGATCTGGCAGCTCAGCAGTGACTGTGGAATGCAATGGTAACTCTGACAGCCCAGGCCCAAGTACTTCCGCTTTAGTGTCCCTTTCTTCCTCTCCGTCATCCTCATCGTCAGTCCCCTCACCTCCGACTTCCTCCAGATGTTCACTTAGCTGGTCCATCACTTCCTTCATGACTTCTTCAAAGGGCTTTCCACTTCGTTGGGCTATGCGTTTGAGTTCATGGAGGTAGTCGATGGAAGGGGTAGCAGGAGGGGCAGGGAGGCTGGTGGAAATACTCCCTGTGACTGTGGCCTGAAATTCCTCCGCAAGTGGCTTAATCCGGCAGATATACTCTGCATTTTTCTCCGATTTATATTTGTATGGCAGCAGTGGCTTTAGTCTGTTTAAAGCTGCTATGTTTCTATATTCAACAATCAGGCTTTTGTAGAAGGAACTATCAGGGTCAGTAACTGTAACCGCCATTTTGACGTCGCCAAAGGTACGTAAAAAATCAACTAACTCGTCATCTGCTTGAGTGTTTGTCACACCTGTCACATAAACACAATGGGTAATATTTACCCCCATTTGTTCAAAAACATCCATATTCCTGGATTTCAGGAAAACAGAAATATTCAAGACTAGTCAAAATTATTGTGACTTGGTGAATATTCACACAGTGTGGCTCCTGGCTAGCTCGCCAAATGTAACGCTAGGCTAGTAGCAGAGTGAACAATTAGGTTGACCAGAAGTAGATTCGGCCAAGGAGCCAAGGTGTGTGAATGAAACACAGACAAAATCAATTGCGTTGTTAGAAAAGTATATATATATATATGATTGTAGTCACAGATTCTATAATTATTAGGTGAGGTATGCGATAACTATATTACATTATTTACATGTGTTGCTATAAATAGGGCAGATATAAGGAAATATTTTTAATACAAAAATAAAAATACAAAAACAAAAAGTGTCCTTTGGTAGGTCAGTTCAATTCAGTTATGGTGGGCTCATAACTGTACTTTAAGCTCCTTTTAGAGTCTTTAGAGTTCCTTTTTGGGATTCAGAAAAGTTCAAGTACTCAAGATCCTACCACTCAGGTAGAACAATAGCTCGCCATCAGAAGGTGATTGCAGTCGGTCGAAGAGCCGTTGCAATAATCCAACGTAAAAACAAAAGCCTGACCTGGAAAGGTCAAAACAAACAAAAACACAAAATAAGCATTTGTATAAATAAACTATTCTACTAAAAGGTACATGATGTACATGTGGAATGTACAGAGAAGTAAATGTAGATACATATTTCCATATGTAACTGTTACAAAAAGGTACATATTTTATGTAAAATACGCTAAAGTTATATTATTTATAACCAAAATCAAATCATAAATCAACCACTAAATAGCTGATCAATATCATAAAGGTTCTTCGATTCAGGAACCTACATCTCAAAACAAGTGCACTTTAAGTCAGTTTGATTCATTGAATACATACTGAAGTAATTCATTAAATACTCTGATATAGATTATTTGAGCAGAGATCAAGAAATAATACTTAAACACGCAAGCAGAGTCAGTCAAGTTGCGCAACGATCAAAAATAAACACGTAGCTACGTTAAAAATATCAAATTAACAAAGGATGGAAACCTGTTGCCGCGTTACTGCAGTACGGCAAGGTTTCCACACGTAATCAGAACTAAAAATAGCTCAATCTAAATGCTGGACGCGATGCTTGGTGCGTCGCGGACGCATGTAAAACAGGGACAATAGTGACCGTGTGTAAATGGAGTTTTGAATAGGAGCGGCAGCGAGGTTACCACCAAACAAAACGAAACATCATCATATAACGTAAGATCACTCGCTAAACACAAAAGAGACAACCCGAACTGCTGTAAAGTAACTCACCATTGAAGGTACAGAGTCAGCTTCGAAGTGGGATGATGTCAGGCCGAGTAGTTTGTTGGGTTTGTTAGCCCCGCTAACAAACACTGGCTGATACTCTGAAAGTTACGCGATCATGAGCGCTCACACCGATATGCAGCACATAATACGACCATAACTTGTATATGGACTCACCCTGGATCGGAGATTCAACGTAAAAGATGATATGAGGCAAAATCAGCGCGGTAAAAGGCAATAGACGCCGAGAAGCCAGACGCACGCCACAGGCCACAGTCACAGAGAGCCGTCAAGGAAGGGGCGGGGGGAATGACCTGGTATGACCCCGCAGGTTAGAGGGAAGCAGGGCTGACGCTGTATGCATTTATTGGCCCGCAATATTCTTAAAATATTATTAATGTTGGGCAACCATAATAAATATTAAAATATGTTAGGAAATGCGGGTTACACTGAGGTGCACCAGTGCTGATGAGTGGAGGTGCGCTATAAATATTAAAATATGTTAGGAAATGCGGGTTACACTGAGGTGCACCAGTGCTGATGAGTGGAGGTGCGCTGACCCACCGTAACAATCTGCTGCCTATCAGTAAGGAAGTCCACAACCCACAAGATGTAGACCGAGATGGCAGGATTTTGTGGCCAGGCTTGCTAACCTTGACTATGAAGAGCCTTCTTACATATGCTCTGCCTCTAGGATCGTGGTGTGAGAGCACTTTGTGGAGCAGGGTTGATATAGCGTTATCAGTAGATTTGTTGGGACATTATGCAAACTGTAAGAAGTCAAAGGTGGATAGTATGGAGGTGGTAATAGAGGCTTTAGAGCAGTGGTCTCAAGCTCAATTTATCTGGGGGCCACTTGAGGCTGAGCCTGGGTGAAGCTGGGCTGCATTAAGGGGTATATTTATCATGTGCTTGTGTGTGTGCATAATACATGAACATCAGAGCAAACACTTCTAGGCACCCGCAGAGATAGAATCAAACCACTTCAACTATTGCAGACAGTTCTGCCCTGATGAAGACCTAAGTGGTCGAAATGCGTTGTGCCCCTAGTAAATAAATGTTAAGAAAGTTCGCCAACGTCTGTTCTTTCTGCGGAAACGTAGATAATTCACCACAAACTCTAAGATTCTGCTTCACTTTTATCGCTGTACCATTGACAGCTTTCCCGTTGGTTCTGTGACTGTGTGGTTTGGTGACATCGCAGACAAAGAAAGGAGAGCTCTAAACAAGGCGCTCTGCTCTGAAAGAGGACTGTGACTGAGGTCTGAAGGTTCTTTATGAATCCAGACTCTAAAATAGAGCTTTTAGAATAATCAATGACTCTTCTGGTCTTCCTGGAAAAGCCATGTTCCAGCTTCTTCCCTCTAGCAGAAGATATTGTTGGCTGGGAAGCTGGACAAAGCACTATATTGCACTGAAACGGTTTTGTTGATTTGTTTTACAGTGACAATTGTTTCCTGTATGTTTTTTAAATCTGGTTTTATTCCCATACTTTTAGCTTGTTTTCATCATTTAAACAACTGGGTTTAGATGATTTTGGAATGGGCGCTCGCATGAATCTTTTAAAGCAAGCAGGGACTTAACATAAAAGGACAAGATTTAAGGGTGTGCCCAGTAATCCCATCAGGCCATGCAGTCTTCTCCGATCTAATAGTCGTCCTCACTTTGTGCTCTGTCACTTTGAAATATTCCCTCCCACTCCTCCCCTGAGCCAATGAGAACTGCATCTGGCGGTTCTCAATGCACCCTTGGACTTCTCAATTATTTCACCAAGTGGAAGCATGTACCATCTAGGTCATAAAAATAACAATTAGAGGTTTTGCCAAAAAGGTTCTGCCCTAGTGTGGGAGTAATCTATGTTAGGCGTGTCACTCCCATCGTCTCTGGACCGAGCCCCAGATCCAAGACAGGTCTGGGCCTGAGCTCTACATGATCCTGGAAGACAAGACCCTGGGAAAAGTCCACTCTTTTATCACACTATGCTAAGATTCGAGCTCCAAACATCTAGATCTCTCCATTTTGATGGTAACCTGAGAAAGTTACCTCAGGATGGAGAAAGGATGGTGAAATTTTCCCAGTATCCAAGATTACCATGCTAATTTGTTTGACCATTTTCTCAAATATGGATATTGTAACTGTCTCCCTCATGGGTTTAGTGCCGGGATTATCCTCCAAATCTGTTGCCATGGTGCTCGACAAAAAAAGAGACATTTTCTTCAAGTAGAGAAGTTCCATTCTCTCAAGTCTGAAAGGGAAGGATGGCATATGACATACAGTTGAAGCTGAGGTTGTGGTGAAAAGGGAGCAGCGTCTGCAGTCAAAGCTTTAGTTTGTTGGCCAAGTTTTTGTTTCCACCCTCACCTATGATCATGAGACCCTATCTTTGACATATGGTGAGGAGCTCAGTATCACAGAATCTTTGTCTGATCCATCTCTGGGGAGGTATTTCTGAAATGTCCCATCAGGCAGAGACTCCGGTGAAAGCTCAAGGATTCGAGAAATGACAGTGAAAAGTACAGAGCAGTGGGAATATACGTATACACTGTTATACGGCTACTGGTTTCCTGCAGCGAGAGCCCCAGCTGAATCCTCAAGGGACAATGTGGGTGCCACCTGCTGATGGTTCCATGGGGGTGGGAAAGGGCAGTGTTTGGGAGTAGCAGAATGCATGTACCAGGAATATGTATTCAGACAACTGTATTTACTTCAGAACTTTATCTTTTGCTGGTATTCAGAATCATGATTCTTTGCCCCAATGAGGTAGATTTCATTGCCAAGCTTCAAGCACATATAGTGAATCAAAAAGAGATCCGCCAAACTGTTGAGGAAACAATACATTAATTTCCAAAGTATTCTCCCCATAACCAGGCCGATATAAAGAGTAAGAAAATGTGTCATAATGAGTGTCATAGATTATACACACAAACCATTTTTTAGTCAAAAACGCAGTTGGTGGTAGCTCTCAAGTTTGCAAACTTTAGTAAAGATGTTGTGTCCTTGTGTTCTACCTGCAGATCCTGCTGAAGGGCTTTGGTGTGCACCTCACAGACTTGTGCCCCTCTAAACCAAGAAGCCGCAACCTGAGTGAATACATAACCATCTCTGACCCTGCTCTCCAATCAGAGCTCACAGACAAGATCTGCACAGCGCCGCCCTCCTGGCTGCAGGCGGCAGAGCAACTCTTCCTGCAGAACCTCGACTTCTTCAGACCCGTCAAGGTATACTAAGAGAACTGGGGGTTAGTTTGCATGTATACTGAGACAACAGAGCTCTGAGTCTGCATGTGTACTGAGACAAGAGAGGTCTGAGTCTGCATGTATACTGAGACAAGAGAGGTCTGAGTCTGCATGTATACTGAGACAAGAGAGGTCTGAGTCTGCATGTATACTGAGACAAGAGAGGTGTGAGTCTGCATGTATACTGAGACAAGAGAGGTCTGGGTCTGCATGTATACTGAGACTAGAGAGGTCTGAGTCTGCATGTATACTGAGACTAGAGAGGTCTGAGTCTGCATGTATACTGAGACAGGAGAGGTCTGACTCTGCATGTATACTGAGACAAGAGAGGTCTGACTCTGCATGTATACTGAGACAGGAGAGGTCTGACTCTGCATGTATACTGAGACAGGAGAGGTCTGACTGCATGTATACTGAGACAAGAGAGGTCTGGGTCTGCATGTATACTGAGACAAGAGAGGTCTGAGTCTGCATGTATACTGAGACAGGAGAGGTCTGTGTGTTTATTCTGATACCATATAAACGCGTAGACTTGATTGATCTTTATTCAATTCTAGACATTGTAATCGTCATAACGTTCTGAGTTTGAGTCATACATTCACAACAAAACAGTAAAAGGTCGGTCTAAAACTGTTGCGTTGTAAAATGTGGTGTTGGGGAATGTGACAGATGCACATATTTGTCCAAACTCTTGTTAATCTGGTTTTGTTCTCAGCAGCAGCAGAAGAGCGGCATGACCTCTGATCCCGAGGCGGTCAATCGTGTTGCTGTGGCAACCAACAACCTGCTGGACACCATGGGCCTGCTGGCGGTGGAGGTCAGTGTCCCCTGTACACACTGCTGGAGTCTTATTATGTCATGTTTCATAAAGAATGGAGAAAGAACCCAAAATACAACACTGGAATAATAATGGTGTAGTAAACAAGAAACAAAAATAGAAAACTTTAGTGAATGTAAAACACAAGAGCTGGGGAGAAAAAAGGAACCAGGTTTGGTATGAAAAATAAATATTATATAAAAGGTATTACAGGAAATCTTTGAAAGCTGTTTGGACCAATTTGGACCTCCCTAAGATTTCCCACTGGCTTTTAGAGTATTTTCCTTCCCGATGCAGGAGGGTCTGACACAAGGACAGTGGTGATGATTCCAGGACACTCAACATTCAACAACAATAATGGTCATTTATGGACATCAAATTCCAGAAATAACTACTTTAGAGTTATGCAAGAATACATTTACTTGACTTGAATTGTGTGATGAACCCGCGCTTGCAAACTGTGGTAGTGTTGGTAAGATAAGATAAACTTTATTGACCTCACAATAGAGAAATGTACATGTCACATTTGGCATAAATAGGAAGACATAAGACAGGAAATGTGCAAACAGGAAATGTGCAAATATGTTAAAAAGGGAAAAAGGTCTCTCTGGTTCAAGGAATTTTATATACAATCAACATTAAAAATAACCTTTAGTAGTTTTCATTATTAATCCGCAGTCGTCCTGTGTCTGGATGAGTGTTCCCGCCGTAACAACAAAGCGTGCATGCTTCACACATAGCTCCCTAAACTCCCTTTAATAACATTGAACACATTTCTCCTAATTATGTGGTAATTTTACATGACCACAGTGGCACAAACTTAATTCTTTTGCTTGTATAAAGTTGGTGCTATTAAGTATGCAGAGCGTCCTGGAGAAAACCTTTGACTCCTCCTGACACCGTTATTTCCCCACATTTCTTTCTCTGGAGCGGTTAAGGGGAGTCTCTGAGTTCATCTGGCTCCTTTCCACACCTCCAGGCGCGTCTTGTGTTTACGCAGCGCGCACACAGCTGGACTGGCAAACGCGAGGTCCCTGCTGGGTCCTTGGGGACAAAATTGGGACAGAGGGGGCACCACAGGGAGTGAAACTAGGATGCGGAATATGCAGTCTTTAAAGTAAGAATTGTGACCGAAAAGGAATCTAAATAATAGTTGATATTGTTAACAACTCAACAGTTTATTTTTGGGAACATAAGGAGCATAATTAGCTTTTCACCGGAAGTTTTGATTTCTCTTGTCCTATACACATTCACACTGTTTCTGCGAGATCCATGCATGTTTGAGTCCCCCCCCCCCCCCCCCCGGGTTGCACACAAGCACATTGGAGCCATTGTCCATAGGATGTCCAATGAGCGTAAATATCCTTAAATGTCCTGGATCATTATTGTCCTTAGACCCACCTTCAAGGAATGACTCAAAAACCCAGTGGAAAAAAGTGAGGGAGACTCATGTTCAATTCAATTCAATGTATTCTTGTATAGCTCTAAATCACAACAGTCGTTATATCAGAGCACTTAACAACACTGTTGAAATCACAACGAATCAGAGAATCAAAGAGGGGGATCTGCTCGGATGGACAGACTATAGATCCAGAGTCTTAGTTTGGCCATTTGAAAGGACTTGACTTTTCAGGCCATGGATGTAAAACACGAGCTGAAATGACGGCTCTGGCGCAGAAGGCAGTGGGTCAGGGGTGTCTTTTATCAGAGAGCTGACCTGGTCCATGAGCCAGAAGAGTCAGTCACAGTCAGCTGTAAACTATACTTCTGCTTCAGAATAAACCTGATGCAGCACTTTGTGGTGTGCACTTCCTGTTCCCTTCACAATAAAGCTGACGTGGGCTGCTTGTGAGTATAAACAAACATCTGTGACGTCACACTTCCTCACCCACAGCCTTATGTGGCTCTCCAGTGTCATGGTCATCACCAGGAACTTTTTTACCGCAACTTTCAGAATTTTTATGTACAACTGAGTGCCCGTTATTTAACCCTATATGCCCGGTGCCGATGCACGCGCACATGTTTTACAAATGATCAATTTACTCGCGAACGGTAAAACGTAGCAACTTACTTTTTTTCCCTCTGTGAAGTACACATTCAGGGCTTTCCGAAACTAGTTTTGATTTGTCTGTGCGATGCACGTAGGATAAACTACGTTTGTCTGAAAGTCTGTGTCCAAAGCGTGACCCGTGAGGTACAAACAGCTGTGAGATACAAACACACGGGGACTGCCAAAGATCGTCAGAGAGTGAGATCTCTCACTCCTCTGTCTGTACTTGTTGTCCTACAGTTGAAACTACAGCTGCGATGGAAATAACCGGCTGAAGAGTACGCATTATTGATAAAGCTGATAATAAATACAGTAAAATTACATTATGTGTATATGATGTATATAAATATATGTATTATATAAATAATTGATGTTTTTTTTTTTTTTGGCTCAGTTTCTTATGTTTTACGTTTTTTACAGCTGTACTACAGAAGCAACCCCAGCATTATAGACAAACTGCTTCAGGAAGGGCATCAGGAGTAGAGCCCTGCACGGGCCTATTATCTGGGCCCGAGCCCGGCCCTGGCCCGAGGGGGTGGCGCCCCAGCCCGGCCCGGCCCGATATGGTTTCTGAATTTTCAGGCCCGAAACCCGCATCAAGCCCGCCTTTTTTCTTTTTTTTTGTAACTTCCCATAACAATGTTTTAGCGTAGTATATAGTGCCGCGCACTGATATGAACGCAGACTTAGCTAGAGGGCGGAGTTATACATGGTAGTGATGTGTTACAATGAGTTCTGTGTGTGCGGAGTGGTGCAGAGTGAACGGCCGCATCTGTATGATGCCCCCGATGCTGCAACACATCTGCACATTACATAAGTAATGCTATGTGCCGTCAATGACAACACTACACAGAACAAGAAACACTACAGCGTGATAGAACGCTATATTCAGTGGGTGCGTTCGTAAATGTATTCTGCCGCTCTGAAAATGAAGAGCCCGAGCCCGGCCCGTGTCCGAGGTCATTATGCGGTCATCGGGCCCGAAGCCCGGCCCTCGGGCTGTCGGGCCGTCGGGGCCCTCGGGCCAAGGGCTCAAGTACAGGGCTCTAATATAATATTATTGCTAGAAAATCTTCTTGTAATGATTTCCCTTTGAGTTTTATAAAATGGCAGTTTGCTGATGTCACAGGTGTGGTGTGCCTGCTGCGCTGCCAGCCAACTCTCCTGATCGCAGGCCTCAGGCACTCCCACAACTTTCACGATCTGGGAGATGATCGCACTGTCAGAATTGTGCCTTTCATAGTCTTTAGCATACATTAGATTGTTTTCAGTTTTTTTCATGGCGCTCAACACTGTGGCTTGACTACAGAAAAAGTCATTTCTATATTTATTAATTCCTCACTGCTTGTGTTCTATCTCATTTACCTGTAGTCTTTAGTGTTGGGGGCCGCCCCCCCTTTAACATCAAACGAGCCGCTATGCAAGTGTGCAAAGCCATTGGGAGAGAAGCTGTGGCTTATACAGTGTTTTAATGCTCTGCTCTTAGTGTAAATTTCATATGAACGAGACAGGAAATCAGCAACCACTTTTGCTGACCTCTTTGATTAACATCCTGGGAGAGATTAGGCGACACATGAACTTGCGCTCCATGATGCTTTTTTCATGGCGTCCATGCTCATTCTTCACCATAACACTCTGTTCATGGTATTTGCGTGGAGCAGTCGTTCAATTATTGTTATGCAAATGCAAGGGCTCATATGAACGAGACAGGAAATCAGCAACCACATTCTTATTTCCAGGCCTGTAACGGATCCTGAAACAAAAAGGTTGCAAAGACAAATACCAACGGGTAATCCTAGCATTACTGTCCTTCATTTTGTTCATCCACTGCAAAGCTCGATGGTCCGTCTCAAGGATGAATTGATCCCCCATTAAATAATATTTCAAAGTGTCCAAGGCCCACTTCACTGCTAAGGCTTCCTTCTCAACAGTGGAATACCTTGTCTCTCTGGGAAAGAGCTTGCGACTTATGTATTGAACCGGTCTTTGGTCCTCACCCTCACCCTGCAGCAACACTGCTCCAAGTCCAACTCCAGATGCGTCTGTTTGCACTACAAAAGGGCGAGAAAAATCTGGACATTGCTAGTACAGGTTCTTTACACAAACAGTCCTTAATGTCTCTAAATGCGGCCTCACATTCAGGAGTCCATTTAACCTTGTTAGGGCTGGATAGCCTAGTCAAATCACTGAGAACAGCTGACCTTGTGGAGAAACCTGGTATAAAGCGTCGATACCAGCCAGCCAAACCTAAGAATGATTTAATCCGCCGCTTGGTTGTCGGAGGTGGGTAGGCCAGTAGTGCCTCAACTTTACCAACCTGAGGACGTATGACTCCACCCCCAATGATGTACCCCAAATACTCCACTTCAGTCTTAGCAATGTGGCACTTTTGGGCATTCATCACCAGTCCAGCTCTTTGAATCCTGCAAAACACATCTCTCACGTGCTCAACGTGATCTTCCCAAAACATTCACTAAATATCACAATATCATCAATGGTTAATCGTCTGCATCCCTGAGAACCTCATCTACCAGCCGTTGAAACGTCGCCGGCGCCCCGTGAAGTCCAAAAGGCATAGTCCTGAAATGATACAGCCCACTTGGGACTCTAAAGGCAGTTAAGTCTTTACAAGTCTCAGATAATGGCACTTGCCAATAGCCTTTGCATAAATCAAGAGTGCATTTAGCTTTGAAAAATTAACACAGAATCTTTGTCTGGGGTCATCCTTCTTAGGGACTAAAACAACAGGACTACACCACTCACTCTTTGAAGGTTCAATAACTCCCATGGAAAGCATGTCTTCCACCTCCTGTTTCACCGCAGGCAACAGCTTAGCTGGAATCCTGGACGTTGAGTCTCTGATGGGTTGCTGGTTGGGGTCACGAAGCCTGATGTCATGCCGGATCAGATCAGTGAAGCCGGGCGTAGTGCTGAACAGAGCCGGATCCATGATTTGGTGTAGCTCCTCCTGCTGGTCTGGCAAGAGGTGACAGAGATCTGGGAGCAGCTGGTCTCCTTTCGACGGAGGGGAAGAACAGCTCCGGACACTCTTCCTCTTCAGTAACAGACCGAGCCCACAGTTGAATCGACGATGCTCGCTCGGTCCATGCTTTTAAAAGATTGACATGAAATACCTGACGTTTCTTCCTCCTGTTTGGCATGTATAGTTCGTATGTTACAGGGCCCACTTTCTGGGAAATTTCAAAAGGACCCTGCCATTTTGCCAAAAGTCCACTTTCTGAGGTAGGCAGCAGAAGCAGAACTTTTTGTCCCACCTGAAAGGAACGTCTGTGAGCTGCCTTGTCATAGTTCAGCTTCTGTTTTTGCTGAGCTTGGGATAAATGAGAATTAGCCAACTGCTGAAACTCTTCCAATTTGTCTCTCATTTTCAAAACATAGGCCAAAACACTACATGGTACCTCAGGATTTGGGGCTTCCCAAGCGTCTTTCAGTACATCCAGAGGTCCACGAACCACATGTCCATAGAGCAACTGAAAGGGGGAAAAACCTGTAGAGGCCTGTGGCACCTCCCTATATGCAAATAGCACAAAGGGCAGCCATTGGTCCCAATCACCCCCTGAGTCAGACACAAACTTTCTCAACATGGACTTAAGTGTTTTGTTGAATCGCTCCACAAGACCATCTGTTTGTGGATGATAGGGAGCAGTTCCTGAGAGTGCTTAACTCGGATCTACAAACCTGGATCAAGGAGCGCAACCCTTCATCGTCAAGGGAAGCTGCAGAGTTGGCCGAAGCATTCTTGTCAGCGCGCCGCTCTTTCAAGAGTTCTTTATCGACTAGAGCCAGTGCTTCTCCTCAGTCACCTGTAGTGAGTAAACCTGTGGGTGGGAGTGGGTTTAGACCAAAAGCCCCTATACCTCGGTATTCAGAGCCTAACCCTAGGTTTAGAGAGTTTAAGCACAAGGGACCTGTGGTATGTCACTCATGTGGTCAAGCAGGTCATGTTAGATCTGAGTGTCCAGGCCAGCATGTCAGTAAGACGTACATGTGTTTTGCCCCACAATCCAAGATTGCGCGAGATGTGTCTACACTTAATGATAATGAAAGAACTGTCTGTGTTATCATTGATGACAAACCACATGTGGCTCTGTTAGACTCTGGGAGTAGCCGCACCAGTTTTGGAGCCTTTGTTTTGTTCTTCTGCCACTTTGACCCACTCTTGCTACACTACCTCACAAATGGTGGCAGTGGTGCTTCCAGTTTTTGAAGTTGGCTCCAAAGCGTAAGCCTCAAGTGAGTAGCCTTGCAGATGGAGAGGAAAATGGATATGGAGGAGCGGAGGCCCTCTGTGATGATCCACAAACTCCAAGTATGGCGGACATAGCAAACCTGCTCCAGGGCTTGGTGAGGAGGCAAACTGAGCATGATGCAAGATGGGAGCAGGAAAAGCTACAGCAGGAGAACCGGTGGCAGTCCATGGAGCGCCGGGTGGACCAGCTTCAGCAGGAGGTTAAAGCTGAGCGTCCAGATACTCCTCCAGTGGTGGTCGGTGCAGCACCTGCAGCTCAAGCAGAAAGCCCCAATGTTCCAGCTATGGTGAGGATTCCCAGTTGGAAAGGGCCTAAAATGCAGCCATACCAGGAAGATGAGGATATTGAACACTATTTGACTACTTTTGAGAGAATCGCCACAGCTTGCCAGTGGCCACATGAAGACTGGGCTTTGCACCTGGCCCCACTTCTCAATGGAAAGGCACGAGCAGCGTATGTGGCTATGGATATTTCTGAAACTATGGACTATGTATTGGTGAAAAGAGCTGTTTTGGAGAAGTTCGAAATCAGTGCAGAGACCTACAGGATGCGGTTCCGATCTACGGTCGTTAAGGAAGATGAGACGCCCAAGGAGCTGCAGTGCCGGATGAAGGATCTCTATGAGAAGTGGATGACTCCGAGAGACAAGACCAAGGAGCAGATTGGTGATGCGATCGTGCTGGCTGTTCGGGAGAGAGAGGAGAGGCACTTTCCATGTTGGTTTTGGAGAGAGAACATGTATATTTGAGCACTGTAAATAAATCCACCCTTTTTGTTACAAGTTTTGGAGCCTTTGTTTTGTTCTTCTGCCACTTTGACCCACTCTTGCTACACTACCTCACAGACACCAGGAGATGTGTTACCCTGAAGGCCCTTGCTGTGTATCAAAATCAGGGGTGTCATTCATGCGGCCCGCGGGCCGGATCAGGCCCGCCAAGAGATTTGATACGGCCCGTGGCTCGTTTATGTAAAATGATAATGATTTTTTTTTAAAATAATCCGCTCAGCAGCGAGTCCAGTGCGTCTGTAGCTGGCTCCAGCAGAGCGGTGCTGAAGGAATAACATCTTAAAGTACAAGACTCTGCGATACGGGACTTTGAGCAGAGAATTGAGAAGACAGAAGATAAATGTGTCTGGCCCTGAAGACACAGCAGTCTGTTTGTGCCCAGAGCAAGAGGTTCGTGCTTCTACTATAAAGACAAGCTAAAAACATAGCATTAGCATCGCAGCCGCACGGTGAAAGAGTTGTTAAAACTCTCATACAGACTGCAGTCATAGTCTGAGAAACCACTCGCTGTCACCAACATGTTGCCATTGATAAGAGACTGATGTTACTGATGTCACATATTAATTTGTGGTGTTACTGAAACTATCAGAGGAGTTTTGAGCGCTGGTGCTGGTGCTGCTGCTGGTTCTGCTGTTGTTGCTGGTGCTGTTGGACAGTGTGGACTGGTCCTACGCTGTCAGCCTGGTACCGACGGTAAAAGCAGGTGTAGTGACAAAGCTGCAAATGGAGGTGATGATTTTTGGACATTTAACTGTATTGTACACAGACCCACTGCTGCAGTCGTTAAGAATGGATCACGTTATTGAAGTTGTTTTGTTCATTTCAACTGAAACATGGTCAGTTTGATGCTTTCTCTCTGATGATAATGATGATGTGCTGTGTTAAAGTGCTTTTTTCTATCTACCAACTTTACCTTTGTGATTTAAGGCTCATTACAGAGAAAACTCTGTAATGAGCCTTTAAACAAAGCTAACATACATTTATTAATATAAATATTGTGAAATGCCATTTACAATGTAATATTGTAAATACATTACATTATTTGCACTGTAAAAAACTCATTGTTACATTTAAGTTTGTAACAGATTTACAGTTCAAACTGAGCGAGTATTAAAGGACTCGCTCAGTTTCCTTTAAACACATGTGCACTTTTTGTGCACATGTGTTTATGTGAACAAAAAGTTTTTTGGTATTTTTGTAGAGCATCTTCTGGTCCGGCCCACTTGAGATCCAATTAGGTTGTATTTGGCCCCGGACCCAGAATGAGTTTGACACCCCTGATCTAAATGAAGACCCAACCAACCTCATAAAAGAATATGTGGTAAGTTCAAACTGAATAATATATATGCGTCTTTTTTTTTGCTTTTTCTTTAACTCGTTGTGTGCCATTGACATATTAATGCGTCAAATGCTGTTTCCGCTATTTTCCTGTTCCCAGATGTTTATTGTTTCTAATATGTATGGAGATTAGGTTAAGAGCATATTTTATCGAGCCAGCAGGTGGCACCAGCGCTGCCTCTGGATGTTTTGAAAAAAAGAGGCAGTTATGCCTCTTTTTTTCTCAGCTTTTTAAAGCTTTTTAAAACTTCCCTCTACTCGACTGGGGATTACAGGGGAACGAAACAAGCTAGAAAAAAAATATTTTTGCTGATGAAAGTAGACAGTGCATTCGTTCAGAATCTGCTTGGTTTGGATTTCAGATAGTCAGAAGTACACAATATTCTGTGGGTCTTGAAAAATTAATACAAATCATCAGAAACTGCTGGGAGTACCTGTTCTGAAATAGGCTGGCACACACACAAAAACCAGGCCAGAGGAACTTCTTTTTTTTTAACCTCATTAAGATCGACTTGATCAGAGTTCTTTGAGAAAGCTTATGATTGATTCCAGAACAAAGACTGCTTGTTAGGATATTTGTAGGTCATAGTCTTCCTTTCTGTATGATAGGGGAATGCTTTTCCCCTAATTTCAGGATTAGACCCAGGTTAAGTCGGGTGGTACTCTGGAAATGTGATATTATCTTAGGTGGTACTTAAGAAAATGTCACATTTTAGTACTTATATGAACTTTAAACCATTAATCGGTTGTTTTAATGTACAGCAGAAGTAATGCCACAATTTGACCAGTTGACTGCGAAAGTTCTTTGACAATATTAAGAGACATTGATAAGCTTACTTGATATCTATTGAAAAATGAATACGTTTAACTTATTGGAAATGGAATTTATTACATCATGATTTTATTTTTGGGTCCTTGTTTAGAATGTTGATTCCTGTGATGCCCAGGAGCAGAGGTCAAAGACTGTGATTGGCATTTATGCGAACTTGTCCAATGACGACACTCCAGAGGATGTGGGAGTCATCATTGAGGGAGTGACCGTGCTGCAGGAACTTGCTGTATTGGGCCTCGCCGCACTGGGCCTCGCTCGCACTGGGCCTCAACGTACTGGGCCTCGTGGCACTGGGCCTCGCTGGTACTGGGCCCCGCCGTACTGGGCCTCGTCGTACTGTGCCTTGCCACACTAGGCCTCGGATGGGAGGTCCGAGTGCACTTGGAAGTGTGCACAATCAGAATCACTCTATACTTTAGTGTGTGCACTAAAGTGTAGAGTGATTCTGATTGTGGTTGTGTTTATTCTGAGTTAGTAATGTTAAGACTCCTTGCGTTTTTGAATTTAAGTGGTCCTTAAATTCAAAAACGTCTTATTTTAGCTCAGAATAAACACAGCCACAATAACCTCCCACCCATGCAGACTCATGCTAACCATGAGTCTGCATGGTTAGCAGACTCATGGTTGCTAACCATGCAGCCGCCACAACCCTCCTGTCGGAAGTAAACGCCTTACTTCCTTCTCCATATCCAACTGAAGCAACCCAAGCCTTTGCGTTGCTTCTTCTCTTCAGTCACCTGGAACGGCATCCTCACGTCTGTCGTCTTTTGTGAGGAGTCTGCAGTCTTCGCCTGTTTAAAAGCGCCTGTCCTTATGAGCTGCCCCTTCTTCTTACGCAGGTTCTGTGCACTCACCTCCTCCTCAGACATAGTCTCTAAATGTGACTGGCGGAAGCAACACAAGACGTTGCAAATGGATTTCTCTTTACGGCGCTGCTTCTCCTCTTCAATCACCTGGAACGGCATCCTCACGTTTGTCGTCGCTTGTGAGGAGTCTGCAGTCAGCCGCCTCTGCTCACACAGGTCCTGCGCACTCACCTCTACCTCAGGTATAGTCTCTCTATGTGACTGTTCCACCGTCTGCGGCCGTGACTCTGTTCCACATTCAGACGTTGTGGGCTCCTTCACAAACTGTTGCATCTCCCGATGAAGACGAGTCACATCTTCAGTCAATTGTGTGACGTTCTGCATCATGAACTCGTTGGCCTCTGTCAGAGTCTGGAGCTGAAGATCTCTTACTTCTAACTGGAGCTGTTTCTGTCTGAGCTCTTGTTCCACACTTCTCTGGGCGGCGTTCAAACGCGCCTCTTGCTTTCGGGCCAATCCTATGACACAGGTCAGTTTGGCCTCATGTGCTTCCACCTGTGTGTGCTCCATGGGACAAAGATCCTTAATCTTGGTTGGTTTGGCATGAACGGGACCCTCACCTTCATCTGTCAGCCGACACAGGAACTCATTCTTGGCTTTATGGAGAGCCAGGATCTCTTCGTCTTTAGCTGTCAGGTCTTCTTGAGCTCTTCTAAGCTGCTCTTCAAACCCTCGGTGCTCAGATATTCTGGCTTGGGTTGAGTCGGATATTCTGGCTTGGGTTGAGTCCTTCTCTCTGACCTCGGCCATCCTCAGATCTCTGCGCAGCTTGGCACAGACGTTGTCGTCTTGAGCGAGCTTTAGCTGTTTTTGCGCTTCATTCAACTGACAAGTCTTCTCTTTCAGATCCTTCTTCAGGTCTTCAATCTGACTGGTCAGATTGGCCTTCTGGCTCGCAGCTGTAGCCTTTAGCTCTTCTATCTCTTTGAGACGGTTTCGCTTAAAGGAATCCCTGTACTGTTCACTAAACCAGGTGAGGTCCTGCTCCATCCCCCATTCTCGCTTAGCAATGAAGGCCTGCAACTCCTGGTTTTTGACTTTGCAGTCTACCAGGAGCGCACAACAGGCACACGGGTGTTGGTGGGCCATTTTTTCGTCCAAACTCATCTTTGTGTGTGTTTCGGAGTCAGTTACTCCATGTCTGACTTGACAGACCCAGACCTACATGAACTAATGTCCTGCTCCACCTCTGCTGCTCTGACCCGTCCTGCTCCAGCCTAAGCTGTTTCATATTTGGAATAGAATGTGATGTCACAAAGCTTAGATGGCCGTTACCATGGAAACCGCGAATGGTCTTGAACATCACCATAGAAGGCTGTTACCATGGAAACCTAGAGTGTTTTTTACTGTGAGTTCTGTTGTCTCTGTTGTAAATAACATCAATAAAGAAATAAGAAATAACCTTTATTTGTGCCACTGTCATCGCTGCACAGAACGGGACGTGAGGACACAGATGAGATACATATATGTGGGACCAGAAAATAACATATATGTGAGACCAGAGAGATCTGAAATGGACCAGAAAGTGGCCAGACTGTATGAGGACCAGAGTGAGGGACCAGAGAGGGGGACCAGAGAGAGGGACACTGACCTTCCCTGGTCTGACTGCTCCCAAGTCCAGGCCAAGTGCCACAGTGATCATTCTCACATCCTGGAGCCTTGAAGCAGAAATATCCTTCTAAATCGTCTTTCTCTCTTTTCTCCATGTTCCAACATTGTTTCTCACCAGTCACAGACCTGGACTTGTTTTGAGATGCATCTTGCATGTAAAAAAATCTGATGTAACAAAAATGAATTTACTTTATTTGATTAGAATTTTCTACCATATTGTTTAATAGTATGGTAACTTTGGATTCGATTTCAGTCAAATGGTAGCCTCTGCCATATACTACGGTGCCGTGTGCTGGGCCCCGGGCAGCACAGAGCGGGACAGGAGCAGACTGAACAAGGTAGTCAGGAGGGCCAGCTCCACTCTGGGCTGCTCCCTGGACTCTGTGGAGGAGGTGAGGGACAGGAGGGTGCTAGCCAAAGCCACCTCCATCATGAACAACACCTCCCACTGCACAGGACTGTAGAGGAGCTGAGGAGCTCCTTCAGTGGAAGACTGAGGCACCCTCAGTGTAGGAAGGAGCGCTACCGCAGGGCCTTTATCCTAGCTGCTGTCAGACTGTTCAACAAGTCGCTTTAAGTCACTGCATTAAGACTGATAAAAAACCTACACTACTATTGACATTTCTTTCTTGATTGCCACTTTCTAATTGCCACTTTTTTGTGCATAATATGTCCTGCATTAACATGTTGCACATTTCTTACTTTTTGCACAATTCTGAGATTAATAAAGTACATCTTATATTATCTTGTCATTCCGACTCTCTCTCCAAAAACATTGGAGCTCCCTAATGCTAACGGTCTTAATTGTGGAAGTAATTATGAAAACCCAAAAAGGTGGCCTTTGTATCAAACTTTCTCTGTTACAACAATTGTTTTTAGAGTAATCATTAGTTTTAAAATTGTGATATTTCATGTAAATAATTCATGTGTTTAATACGACTGATGTACAGTATATATTAACGGACGTAGTCACGCCTATCTCCGCCGTTCAAACTAATGGGTCAAAAAATTTGCTCTACTGGAGCAATCCAAAAGGCCGCGAGTGGTCCCGCCCACAAGAAAATTGTATGGAAAAAACGCATCTGCGCATGCGTCAGCCGGCGAGAGCTCCATTCATTTGAACGAGAGACTTTAAAAATTTACAGCGACCAAACCAGAGTGGTCCAAAAAAATTCACTCCCCTCAGCATTGACACACATGTGGAACGGAGCTTTGGGCCAAGAGCCAACTTTTGGTCCATCCTGTAAAGACGTTTTGGAGAGGTCAGCTAATGCTATATGTTAGCATTGGCTAATTCTTATTCTGGGTCCACCCCCATCGGCCCGGGGTGGTATTGCAAGCATGTGATTTTGGCCACTTTTGAGCTGGGACCCTCCCCCATTGGCGCAGATGCTTTTTTCACAATTTTCTTGTGGGCGGGACCACTCGCGACCATTTTGGATAGCTCCAGTAGAGCACATTTTTTGGCCCATTAGTTAGAACGGCGGAGATAGGCGTGACTACCACAGTAGCTTCAAAGTGTCATGAAATATCCAAAAAAGCAAAAAATACTCTGAAGAGTTGCATTTTCTTCATATATCGGCAGCAACTCTAGCTGGCCTGACCACCACTCCGTCAATGCTTACATATAGCATTGGCAAAAGTTGTCTCTTGGCCCAAAGCAAATGAATGGAGCTTGCGCCGGCTGACGCATGCGCAGATCATAGACTGTATATATTAATGGACACGCCTATCTCCGCCGTTCTAACTAATGGGCCAAAAAATGTGCTCTACCGGAGCAATCCAAGATGGCCGCGAGTGGTCCCGCCCACAAGAAAATTGTGAAAAAATGTGCTCTACTGCAGCAATCCAAAATGGCCGCAACCCATCGGCCCAGGGTGGTATTGCAAGCATGTCAGCGCACGTCATTTTGGCCACTTTTGAGCTGGGACCCTCCCCCACTGGCGCAGATGCGTTTTTTCACAATTTTCTTGTGGGCGGGACCACTCGCGACCATTTTGGATAGCTCCAGTAGAGCACATTTTTTGGCCCATTAGTTAGAACGGCGGAGATAGGCGTGACTACGTCCAATAATTTTTACAGTCTATGGAAAAAGCGCATCTGCACATTGCGTCAGCTGGCACAAGCCCCATTCATTTAAACGAGTGACTTCAAAAGTCCACAGCGAGTAAACTAGAGTGGTCCAAAAATATTCACCCCCCTCAGCATTGACACACATGTGGAACGGAGCTTTGGACCAAGAGCCAACTTTTGAACCATCCTGTAAAGGCGTTTGAGAGGTAAGAAGATGCTATATGTTAGCATTGGCTTATTCTTATTCCGCGTCCACCCCAGTGGGGGCGGGTCCCGGCTCAAAAGTGGCCAAAATGATGGTCGCACTAGCCTGGCCTTAGCCATCCGTACACTCCGTTCAATCATCATTTCACTGCATGTAACGTCTGGGTCTGGTCCCTGTGTTAGCGATTACAATCGGTTGAATTTCAATTGACCATTCAGAGAGCGCGGAAGGCAGGTGTTGATAGTTGTGGGTGATGTCAAGAGTTTGCGCCGAACGGGAAGGTTGTAGTTTGGTAATTGCAAAAAATGAGATAGTAAAGTAATCAGGTCCGGTCCTATCAAGAAATTGAAGCTGGAGCAAGAGTAATGTTTAGCAAATGTCATCGCTGGAAAAAATTGTGGCGCTACTCCCTACGGCTTTCGTTAGCAGCAAAGGAGATGGCTAGGCTAAATGCTAACAGACTCGGGCGCACTACATACGTCACGGTCAGCACTAGATCATATACGGAATCGGGACGGAAGCGGAACTAAATATGACAAAATACCTATTCATGTCTAAACTTAACCAGCAATTCCCATGCATGAAATAACCCCAACCCACCCTTAACTCTAACCTTAACCATCTTACCCAGACACCTAAAACTTAACCAGTCACCATTGAAGGACTTTTTAGTCTAAAACTAATTCGAAAGTAGGATTGTTACTTCCGGTTTCGTCCCAATTCCGTATATGATCTAGTGCCGACCTAGCCTGGTCTTAGCCATCCGTACACGCCGCTCAATCATCATTTCACTGCATGTAACGTCTGGGTCTGGTCCCTGTGTTAGCGAATACAATCGGTCGTATACATAGTTCCCACAGACCAATGAATGTCACATGACCTCCTCGGAGACGCCATCTTTGATGGCACGCTGCTGTGTTTGTGCATTCCATTAAACAGAAAAATGAGAATAAATGTAGATATTCAAACGCAAATTGGAAAAAAAGGGCAACTTTTGAGCAAATATTTGTATATTAATACAATGGCACCACAGTTTAACGTGCTACGGACATGTTTTACATATTTGATCAAATTATGCAGCAAAAATTAACAAGCAATGCAAACATTTCTCAAAAACTTTAGATTTAATACCAGTTGGAGCTCCATTTAATTATTTTAATTATATTAACAATTAATTTAATTAATGCTAATGCCACACGGACACTCTGGATTGCTGTTATTGTTTATTTCCGCGTTTTTGACCGTATGTTTTGGTGAATGGTGGGCAACTGATTTTTCCAGGCGTAAAGAGCAGTTTATTTTATGACACAGATCTTTTTACAGAAGCAATGCTGTTTGTGAACATTGTTTTAGCCCACCATAGAACTATTATTATCTATTTAATACATTTACGTTGCCCTCGAGAGCCTCGGACGCGACACCGATCCTCCTCATAATAAAGTAATCTAACGCTAAATAATGAAACTCTCAAGTTACCAGATATCAGCATACACAAGTTAGTACTGAGTAAATTACGTCTGTCAACACATTATAAGATACGATACGCACCTGACACAAAGTGCTCCGAGCATATTCTTGCGTGTTTTGAGGGAGTTTCTTGCCTGTTTATCTTCGCAAGCCATAACCTCCGTGGTTGTTCTGACAAAAACTTAGTCTTCTCACATTCATGAAGTCTAATGATGGGTATACTGTAAAATCCAAGTTTAACTGAACCTCCGGCACGATTAGAACATCCATTGACCCAGCAGGAGATGACCATTTTCAACTTTATCACACGTTTCAGCTTCTTCTTCTATTGTTTTGCCCACAGCATGCCAACACAAATGGCGCCGGGTCGGCAAATCCCCGTATGTAGTGACGTCATGTAGGAACTATGTATTTCGACCGGCTACTCAGAGAGTGTCACTTCCATCAATAGAAGCAGCGTGAGCGGGAGAGAAGTCTTTGGGAGTTAATGTGCGGACGTAGCGCTCCTCGTATTATTATTACGCCTCACAATATAGTACCCCTTTTTATCCGCTGAGAAAATCGACATGTTACATTTCTGTGTTACTATACTTGGTAGTGTAACACGTCACGTAACTGTATTTAAATAGGGAACGGGTGGAAGAGTTTGGTATCTTCTAATGGGAGCTGATTTGTTTCTATACATAGTTCCCACATGACGTCACTACATACGGGGATTTGCCGACCCGGCGCCATTTGTGCTGGCATGCTGTGGGCAAAACAATAGAAGAAGAAGCTGAAACGTGTGATAAAGTTGAAAATGGTCATCTCCTGCTGGGTCAATGGATGTTCTAATCGTGCCGGAGGTTCAGTTAAACTTGGATTTTACAGTATACCCATCATTAGACTTCATGAATGTGAGAAGACTAAGCTTTTGTCTGAACAACGACGGAGGTTCTGGCTTGCGAAGATAAACAGGCAAGAAACTCCCTCAAAACACGCAAGAATATGCTCGGAGCACTTTGTGTCAGGTGCGTATCGTATCTTATAATGTGTTGACAGACGTAATTTACTCAGTACTAACTTGTGTATGCTGATAGCTGGTAACTTGAGAGTTTCATTTAGATTACTTTATTATGAGGAGGATCGGTGTCCGTCCGAGGCTCTCGAGGGCCACGTAAATGTATTAAATAGATAATAATAGTTCTATGGTGGGCTAAAACAATGTTCACAAACAGCATTGCTTCTGTAAAAAGATCTGTGTCATAAAATAAACTGCTCTTTACGCCTGGAAAAATCAGTTGCCCACCATTCACCAAAACATACGGTCAAAAACGCGGAAAAAAACAATAACAGCAATCCAGAGTGTCCGTGTGGCATTAGCATTAATTAAATTAATTGTTAATATAATTAAAATAATTAAATGGAGCTCCAACTGGTATTAAATCTAAAGTTTTTGAGAAATGTTTGCATTGCTTGTTAATTTTTGCTGCATAAATTGATCAAATATGTATAACATGTCCGTAGCACGTTAAACTGTGGTGCCATTGTATTAATATACAATTATTTGCTCAAAAGTTGCCCTTTTTTTCCAATTTGCGTTTGAATATCTACATTTATTCTCATTCTTCTGTTTAATGGAATGCACAAACACAGCAGCGTGCCATCAAAGATGGCGTCTCCGAGGAGGTCATGTGACATTCATCGGTCTGTGGGAACTATGTATACAGTATGTGGAAGAGGCTGCGTTTGTGCTCTGTTTGCATGACAGAGCGCACGGACAAAGACCAGACAGGTACACATCAACTAGTCTAAGGTAAGGTAAGAATTTATGTCAGTATGTAAAAACGGTGGGCTACTCCTTTAAGGGTGGGTTGGGGTTATTTTATGGGAATGGCTGGTTAAGTTTAGGCATGAATAGGTAGTTTGTTATATTTACTTCCGCTTCCGTCCCGATTCAGTATATGATCTAATGCTGACCACAAAATGATGTGCGCTGACATGCTTGCAATACCAACCCGGGCCGATGGGGGTGGACCTGGAATAAGAATTAGCCAATGCTAACATATAGCATCGGCAGACCTCTAGAAAACGTCTTTACAGGATGGTCCAAAAGTTGGCTCTTGGCCCAAAGCTCCTTATGCGTCAATGCTGAGGTGAGTGAATGTTTGAAGTCTCTCGTTCAAATGAATGGAGCTTGCGCCGGCTGACGCATGCGCGGATGCGTTTTTTCACAATTTTCTTGCGGCCATTTTGGATAGCTCCAGTAGAGCACTATTTTTGGCCCATTTTTTTTATACGGCGGAGGTAGGCGTGACTACGTCCATAAATTTTTACTGTCTATGGTCCAGCCCCATCTGCAGTACATTCAAACTGCAGCAGCTCGAGTCCTGACTTCAACCAGGAAGTATGCTTGCACCAGTCCTCAGGTCTCTGCACTGGCTTCCTGTGGCTCAGAGAATAGATTTTAAAACAGCTCTGCTTGTTACAAGTCTCTCCATGGCCTCGCACCAAAATATATTAGTGACATGTCAGTCCCATATGAACCAGCCTGGACACTGAGGAGCACAGGGACTGGACTCCTGTTAGTGCCCATAGTCAGGACTAAACATGGGGAGGCTGCTTTTCAGATTCATGCTGCTAAAATCTGGAACAATCTTCCTGAAAGTGTGAGACCGGCCTCCTCTCTGACAATGTTTAAAACCAGGTTAAAGACAGTTCTGTTTAGCTGTGCATACAACTGAGGGAATTTATATTTTTATCTTTCTTTTTAATGTACTGTGATTATTTATGATTTTAATGCTTTCTTATTTTGTTCAGCACTTTGAGTTACCTTGTGTATGAATTGTGCTATACAAAAAAATCTTGCCTTGCCTACTCTGCTCCCGTTGGGTCTGATAGAAAACCAGCAGCCACAGTGGCCCTTTCTGGACCAGTTTGGACACCCCTGTGCTAGGCTAATGCTGCTATGCTAGTGCTGCTATCTTAATGCTGCTTGGCTAGGGATAGGCTAATGCTACCGGGCCAATGCCTGTGATTTAAATTTGCCAATTTTTAGCTTTTGCCAATCAGCGCTGGTGATCTGTCAAGTTGGTCTGCCCATCGAGATGATCTGTTAATGATGTAATGCAAACCTGCGCTGCGCGTCTCACGGATAGACTGTATATATTAAAAGACATAGTCACGCTTATCTCCGCCGTTCTAACTAATGGGCCAAAAAATGTGCTCTACTGGAGCTATCCAAAAAAGCCGCGAGTGGTCCCGCCCACAAGAAAACGGTGAAAAAACGCATCAGCGCATACGTCAGCCGGCGAGAGCCCCTTTCATTTGAAGGAGGGCCTTCAAAACTTAACAGCAACTAAACCACAGTGGTCCAAAAAAATTCACTCCCCTCAGCATTGACACACACGTGGAACGAAGCTTTGGGCCAAGAGCCAACTTTTGAACCATCCTGTAAAGACGTTTTTGAGAGGTAAGCTAATGCTATATGTTAGCATTGGCTAATTCTTATTCTGGTTCCACCCCATCGACCCGGGGTGGTATTACAAGCATGTCGGCGCACGTCATTTCTGCCACTTTTGAGCCGGGACCCGCCCCCACTGGTCTCACGGCAGCCGAAGCGATCCAAGATGGCGGACATGTAGGCCGCGAATTGCTTTAAAAGTAAAAATACGAACGAATTAAGACACGAATGTCACTTTTAATGCAATTTGAGGCGAGATGTTGATGGTTCGGTATTCGGCATGTGGGTTTTAAGAGTAAGAGTTTTGTGTAAAGTTTGTTTTAGGCAGTCAACTGCTCCTGTGAAGCTACACTGCTAGTGTAACCCAAATCTAATTTGCGCAGAAACCCGCCAGAATGGGGAAAAAATTTGATCTAATTTAATATTTCGTTTGAACACACTATAGTTAATCATATTGAATACAGTGTGATACATGCATCAAATGTAATTTCATTATTTCCATTATCAACCCGACAGACCGGTCACAGGACGCGTCATGGGCCTACATCAGTAAAATGACGTATGCAGCAGTCAACTCAGGGACTGCCATCAAAACAGTAGCAGTGTAGTTTCACAGGAGCAGTTTACTGCTTAAAACAAACTTTACACGAAACTCTTACTCTCAAAACTCAAATATCACAACGCGGAACAATAAACTCGCCTCAAATTGCATTAAAAGTGACATTCTTGTCTGAATTCGTTCTTTTATTTTTTAAAGCAATTTGCGGACTTCATTTCCGCCATCTTGGATTGCTTTGGCCGCCGTGAGACGCACATGCGCAGGTTTTGCCCTGGGAAATGACCCCGAAGTTCCTCTGGTGGAAACGTGATTATTGTGTAAGATTCTACTGAGGATCTGGTTCACAGTAAACTAATACCTGCATGTGTCTCATTTACAACAGCTGTAAAGCTGTGTTCACACCAAAAGCTTCAAAACCCTATGACGCGCATTGTTTGGCGCTGATTTATTTTTGTCATTTTGTGGGAGGAGCTTCTCTGTTGCCTGTAGTCAATAGACAATGGCGGATTTCCAGAGAGCAGCCTTTAGTTATTATATAAAGTCAAACAACGTCATTGTTGCTTCTACACAACGTGTTCTGGGTTCACCACAGACTTGAGAGGCAACATTTACTCCAGGAGCTGTGTACGGATGAGTTTCGCTTTCAGTGGTACTTCCGCATGCCACTTGCACAGTTTGAGTGATTTTGTTACTTACTTATTAAGAACATTACAACTCATACAAATAATAATACTAATAACAACAATAATGTCAACAAAACAGCAGCAGCAGCTACATGCTGCTTTTCCTCCTCGTCTCCTGATTGGTTGACGCCCGGTGTGAAGCTCGAAAAGCTCAGCTTTTCTCAACTTTGCAAGTGTTACGCGGCCAAGTGATGCCGGGCCTCTGACGCGCGTCACCATTCATTTTCAATGAAAACCTAACACCTTTGAAGTCAAAGTTCAGTCCGGTGTGAACACAGCTTCAGAAACATTCTCCACACTCGATTAACGCTTAAAACTTTCATTGCGAATAACTTAAAATGTTTTTATTGTTGCTGTTTTTTGTTCATCAAAAAACCCAAAATAGCCTCATGTGAGTTAGTAATGTTTATTTATGTAGCACATTTCACTAAGCCTCACTAAGCGCTTTACAATTGTGGGATTTGTCTCTCACTCCACGCAGAGATGGGAGCATGTTCCTATTGTACATGTTTTTAGTGGTAGGGAAAACCAGAGCACCTGGAAGAAGTCTACGCTGACACGGGGAGAACATGCAAACTCCACTCAGAATGGCCCTGTTTCGACAGGGATTGAACAGTCCACAGGCGTCAGGAGTCTCAGATGCTATCTCCCTGGTGCAAGATCCTAAACCTGTTGATAGTTAGTGTATGTTTACATTTATACATTTACATGTATACATTTATACTTATCTGTTTTCTGTAACTTCCGACTTTCGTACCGTGCCCTTTGATCTTGTTTCTGCTCGTTACATGTATTTGAAACCAGATTTAAACTTTGTTTTGTTGTGTTTTTACACTATACAACCGCCAGATCAGCAGAGGAGGAGAATTCTGCGCCCTTAAAAGTCAAAGGCAGAGGGCCAAGTTACATTCAGGTAAGTGTCTCACCCTCCCCTACCTGTCCTCTGGATGGAGCCTGTGGACAAACCTGAAAACCTGTTGATAGTTAGTGTATGTTACACATTTATTCTTACCTGTTTTCTGTAACTGCCGATCTCCATCCCGGGCCCCTTGTTCCCTCTTGTCCTTCCTTTTATTGTGTCTTGGGTTCACTTGCCCCTCGTTACTATTGCCGTTTTTCCACAGTCCTAGTACGGTACGTTTTGACGCCATGGCCCAGTTTGCGTGCTTTTCCATCAAATATATTACCCCCAGTATGTCCTCAGCATTGTCAGACCACGTCATTTACGTGTGACGCTTAACTAGTACTGGTGCGGTGCATGGATTTATTATAATACCAGAGCAAGTGTTTAATAGAAAATTCAGCACACCACGAGTAGTTTTTGAAAATGCTTTAGTCTTAAAAGAATGATCCAGACACTGTGAAGTCAATGGTGCTGACGGCTCTGTACAATCTGAATGGACCTGTAGCAACAGCAGCCTGTGTAGCAGAGGAGGAGGGCTGCATGTCCGAGGATACTGCTAGGCTATAGCTAATGCTAGCGCTAGCTCGAGACTCGGCTCACTCACTAACCCTGGATTCCAAAGCTACAACTGTACTACACTTATCACATCTATCACTACCCTCAGAGGCGGATCCGGGGTTTAAACTCGTCATATGGCAACTCGAGCAGTAAAGGACCGAGGGAGAGACAGCGGCAGCCATAGGGATAGCGAGTTAGCGGCTAGGCTAGGCTAAGCTAGGCTAGGCTAAGCTAGTCTGGACTCGGGTCTGGACTACAGCAGACTCCGAGACCAGACAAACAATCGATACCCAAACCTCATCTACAATAATAATAAATGAATGAAACACAGTCTTGGGAAACAATCACAGATTTATTGAAAACAAAAGTAAAGTGCAAAACCAACTGTTTACAAAGTCAAAAGTACGTATGTGAGACCAGGTCCAGACCAGGTCCAGATGAGGAGAATACTCCGGTCACTCATTACTCGTTGGTAATCTCCACACTTATGGAAAGGGATTCTCATACGAATATACACACAACAACTTAACTACAAGCACAAAACAGAATGACAACACGTGAATACTGCAGATAATACAAGATAAAGCACAGTAGCACAGGGAGCACGTTAGCTTAGCTGCTATCGATAGCTAAATGAAGCTAATTGTAGCTGGCTCACTGTGTACAACAGACAATTGAACATTTACACAGTAAATACATTTCAGTGAGAGCTTGGGGCCAACGGGATTTGTAGCTAACCAGTTATTTCCAGGATTACCACAGACTAGTCACAAATCCAGAGCTGGGTGATCTCCCTGAAAACTGTGTTGAGCCTCGAGCTGCCTTTGAATTCTTTCTTTGGCCTGAAGAGAGGAACGTGTGGACCTCGTCCACCGACCAGTACCAGGACTTTTGGGGCTTTCTGTGCAATTCCATTTCTCTGGAGTGAGGAGGATGTAATGTAGCCGAAACAGCCGAGCAGAGCAGCCGGTTTTAAAGATGGCTGTTGAGTTGTTTTTCCCAAAGGGAAAAATCTCGTGGTCACGCAGTGTGCGTGCTCTCTGACTGGTTGTCGCACGTGCACTTAAACTTGTCGCAAGGCATGGTCCGGGGTCTCTCTCCAGGGAGCGCCTTGGGGTCTCCCAGGCGTAGCTGGAGGAAGTGTGTGGATTAAGTCTGGGCGTCTCTGCTCAGGCCGTTTAGCAAGGCGCTAAACCAAACATTTACACCTAAAACCCACGCATGGAAAGTGTTTATTTAACCAGGATATTCCCACCTAGAGCTTGGCATTTCTTTTTCAGAGAAGTCCTGGCCCCAGAGAGAACGGACCTATCGTACGTTTTTAGTGGTGGTGGAAATCGAAGGAAAGCTACGCAACCTCCACTCAGTAAGGCCCGGATCCGACAGGGATTCCAACTCATAACCCTCTTGCGAAGAAGCAGCTGTGACGTAGAACAGTAGGTACTATCAGGGCTGGACTGGGACAAAAAAACGGCCCGGGCATTTTTTCCTTCTTAGCGGCTCAGGCAACTCAAAATGTTCAAGGAGCCATATTTGACAAAAAAAATCTGTCTGGAGCCGCAAAAAAAAACAAAAAACAGCGTTGTATAAGGCTTGCATGAAGGTAACAGGGGCTGAAGCTACATTAGCTACATTAGCTATCTTAGCTACATTAGCTACCTTAGCTACATTAGCTATATTAGCCTAATATCTAAATGACAAAGTAAAGGCTACAAACACATAAAAACCATTCATGATTATCAAATGTGTATTTTCATTGCAGCGTGTCCTGGAGAGAATGACACACCACGTGACAACTCTGCTTTAACTTTAACCTTCATGCAATTGTACAAATACAGTAAATAAATCTGCTTTTTGGCTCCAAGTTCACCTGCATCACTGTCTGTTCATATCGATCACATCACAGGCTGAAGTTTGCTGGAGCTGAATGTCCTTAAGGGCCTTTTCTTTCACCGTCTTTGCGAAGGTTTTTGAAGTCTGAAAATAGGTGCTCTGACTTTATGATGAATGAATCTTTCAGTGAACAGTGTTTAAAGCTTCATTGTTCCTCCTGTTGCAACAAAACTTTTCATTACATCGCAAACATGAAGCAGTCCTTCCTCATTGACTGAAAGCAAATGTTCATTCTCATTCTTAGTCCAGTCTTATTATCTACTCTCTCTCTTTTTCTTTTGGGATCCATGCGCACACACAGTTAAAATTGAATATTACTTATACAAGTTTTTGCAGCATTTAAAAACGTTAAGAATGTTTTTCCTCCTACAGAAACCACATTGAAACTAGAAATAAAATATAGCCCTCACACTCCATTTTCAGACATTTTTGAAAAGGCTCCAGGAGCCACTTTAGGGGCACTAAAGGTTGCTGACCCCTGGTTTATACAGTATGTGGAAGCAAATAGAGGATCAGGATGTGTGCAGTTTCAACAATAAAATAAAGAGCAATAGTCTACATTAAACAGAGTAATAAACATGTCTCAGAGTGAAGGAGGTGGACACAGACAACACTATTGTTTGTTACAGGGATGAGAATTGGTAAACATTTCTGAAATGCATATTGTCAGCCATTAGCTGGCTCTAAATCTGTTGAATCTGTTCACAACATTTTACTTTTGGGCTCAAACATGAACTTTTAATGCAATGGAAAATTTAGGTACCCGAGCTTTAATTTAGAGGAGAGGGGAGACGCGAACTGTTTTCTGCAGCGGTGTATTTATTGGGTGCACAAATTACGAAAAGACACGCATGGTCCTGTGCGCGTTTATGGTCTTGGGTACATGGTCACGTTGCGGCTACGCGCTCACCATGTTGTGTTGTGAGCGGCTCCCGGTGAGCGGTTCCTGCGTCCAGCTCAGAGCCGCTGGATGTGGGAACACTGCTGCCGCTGAGGTGGTGGAATCCCGTTCGAGTACATACAGCAGGTGCCCCGCGGACACGCGCGCTCCCCTCAAACATTTCTCAACGGATTTACACTTTTCACAAACATTCTCGAGGTCGGACATCCGGGAACTTGGACTCCCATAATGCACTGCGCGCGCATAGCAACGCGGCGAAGGGTAAAACAAACCAGCGCCCGCCATTAAGCAACACGAAGCGAAAGACAAACGAGCGTTACAAAACATGCCGAAAAACTGTTGTAATGTTGGTTGTACCAACAACAGCGTAAAAAGGAGTGACCTATCCTTTTACATGATCCCTAGCGAGGCAACTGAGCCAGAAAGGAGAGAGAAATGGCTCCAGCTGGCTTGGAGCTACTCAGTGGGAATCTTTAGATTTTGTCACTTTGCTCCTTGAACAGGAAAGAAGAACAACAACCCCGCACACCCAGATTACACTCCGTCCATTTTCCCGCAAGCAGTGCTGAAGGAATTGACTAAGAGTACCACACTTGATCGCTTCAAGAGAGCACAGAAAAGAAAAGGTAAGTTTGCTACCCACAGTACCCTATCGTTAACAGAAAAAAAACCCCATCAAACTGTAGTGTGATCAACATGCATCTAGTTTGCTCCTAGATCAATGACCAAAAATTATCTGAATTTGTTTGACACAACACTTGAAATTTAAAACTAAAAAATTGCAGTCGATTTTGTTTATGCAGACATATATATAGTAGCAAATTGTGTTTCTTGCTCTTATTTTACACTGCAGTAAAACCGTACCTGCAGATAATGAGCTGCATTTCCGATGCACAGTTAAGAATTAAAAGATTCCATATTGCAATGAGGTTGTGTACAACAATTGATACAAGCACCTTGTGAAATAGAATGTTGTCCCCCATATGAAATACATAAATAAAAAATACATGTTGATTTCTAATGACAAATTTGAAAAAGTAGTACTTGGGAGGTTAACTGCTACAAAAATGGTAATCTGTGTAAAAATACAGATTTTGCTAACAAATGTATTTTCCTTGAAAACAAAATTACTTCCTGTATGAAAAAGTCATTGCATCTACAAAGTAACTAGTCATGCAGATTTTTGTACATAATGCCTAGCCTGGAAATTCTTGGTAAGATGGTATTTATAGTACAAAACTAGTCTACTGGTCGCTGCTTTCTAGTCATAGTCGACTATTATGACTTGTCGTCCCAATCCAACTCAATACTAAATATACTGCCGTTTAGTAACACCAGGAAGCCGAGTGAGTGAGTGGTTGGTGGTGGTCGGAGGGGCCGATGGCGCAGACTGGTCGCCTCGCTTCAGTCAGTCTACCCCAGGGCAGCTGTGGCTATAATAGTTGCTTACCACCACCAAGTATGGAGTGAATGAATAGTGCAATGTTAAGCGTCTTTGAGTGTCCAGAAAAGCACTACATAAAACTGATGCATTATTATTATTATTATAAATATGAGGCCATGACTTAAAATTTCTGTGATCATTTGCAAAATATATACCTTTTATCTATTTTTTTCAGCACCATCCACTACTCTAGTATCACGAAAGGAAAGGAAGGTGAAGAAGCAACTGGAATTTGAGGAGACAAGTGTCCCAGAAGAGTTGCAACAAGAAGTGTCAACACCCTGCATGGAAATGCAAGACCTGCAGCAGACGGAATTAGGCATTGACAAAATCAGCGATGATTCGGTCTCCACCATCATAATACTAAATACACCTGAAACAAAAGAAAATGAAGAAAGGGAAATAATTTTATTTTTATACATTAACATATCACATCTAGGAGAGTGACAATTGACCAGAGCAAAAACACTGACAAATTGCAAGTAAATGATACAAATGTTTTCATGTCAATCTTTCACGTCTTTTAGTATTTCTACTTATACAATGTCTAATAAACTATTTCTCATTAGAAATGTTAAAGTCTTGCTGTTGTCGTTAGACACTACATTCAATAAAATGTAATCTGATGACTGGTTATTGCAAAAAATAACCAGTCATAAAAAGTGTGAATAGAGGGTATGCCATTTTACTTTAAAATTTAAATAGAAATGTAATCTCAAATGAATGGACACATTGAGGGGCAAATCAAAGAATAACAAAATAATACCAATGCCATGCCACTGTTTTCTGTTGCTATGTTATGACATCGCTACAGTATGCATAATGGTCGACAGCTCTACACCGATAAGCAACAATGAAATGCACTAGTTGTGTGGGGAATAAGTGGAATTTCTGCAGTTAGCCTTTTTTGGCTTTTGAAAAAAACTGTCCCTCACTTACACTGTACAAGCTGTGCCACTGACAGACTGAGCTCATTACAGCCACATTGTAACAGAATGCTTTTGAATGTCATAACATAGTTAATGTTATCGATGCTTGATGGGTATTTAAATATTACTACAAGTGTAGGACACATGGTATGTACACATGGTGTTCATACCAAGGGACTTGATGAGGTAATTGTATATGTCTGGATACTCGAGCCTGGGCAATGCCTTTGGGTTGTTTTCCCAGGACTCTGCTGGATGCCGATAGGGACAAGATTGTAAACCTACAAGCGACAGCTTTCTGTGGTACCTGGTCAATGCAGGCGCTAGGAGACTGTCAATATACTGATATGACATGCTGCAATAGAAGAAGAAGATCTGTATTCATATAGTGCCTTTCACAGACATGTAGCTAGTCACAAAGCGCTTTACATGAGTGTTTACATTCACTCCATACATGTGGTATATACATCATCAGTGACATCAGCTGCAGGCAAGAGAAATAAGATTAAACTAAAACTGGCGATTATAAGTGTAAAACTACAACTGAAAAAGGTGGTCCTGTTGTGGCTTAAGGTGCAAGAACAAGAGGAATGACATTTGCGTTAATAAAATAAGGTTTATCTGATATTTCCAACAACAGTTAGACATTTCTTTATTGTTACTATGACAACAGCTACAATGGAAATAGATAGGAATTTAGATTCCTGCCTCCAGCTAAGCAAGCCCTGAATGTTTACACCACCAACATACATTCGCATACACAGATATCATTCATCAATAATTCAAAGTTGTCCGTTAGTATCCATAACTGATATAATCCACGGCAAAACATATGTAAATAGATACCTTTTGGATTCGCCTTCGGTTTGTTTTACCCTTCAAACATGGCGGCGGTTGGTTGCTACGCAGGTCACATGATTCGTGACGTAACGCCGACCTCGAGAATGTTTTTTGTATGAGGCAGACAGACCGGCCCAAATATGGGCATCGGCCCTTCGGGCATTGCCCGGTACGCCCGATGGCCAGTCCAGCCCTGGGTACTATGCAGTGTTAGGGTCGCAGCTCGGCCTTGCTGTATTGGGCCTCGCCGCACTGTGCCTCAACCGTACTGGGCCTCGTGGCACTGGGCCTCGCTGGCACTGGGTCTCGTCGTACTGTGCCTTGCCACACTGGGCCTCGGGTGGGAGGTCCAAGTGCACACTTTAGTGTGTGCACTCGGAAGTGTGCACAATCAGAATCACGTGACTGTGTTTATTCTGAATTAGTAATGTTAAGACTCCTTGTGTTTTAGAATTTAAGTGGTTCTGTTCAGTTTGTTAAATTAAATGACCAAAAAATTGGCGTAACAAACTACAGGACCTCTAAGAATTAAAAAACACCAAGGAATCTTATTTTAACTCAGATTCAGATTACTTTATTGACCATTGTGCAAAACACAGGAGTTTGACTTGGCAACATGAAAGTGTGCATTCATCTTTATCACATAGTGCAAGAGGTATAAATAAAATAGATATTGTAATAAAGTGCCATAGTGTTCAGTCCTTGTTCCTAGGGGGCAAGGGAAGAAGGGAAACCAGCGTCAGTGAGCAGTCTGGCCGCTGAGGGGAAAAAAACTGTTTTTGTAGCGCTCGTTCTTAGCCCCCAGATGCCGCATCCTCCTCCCATAGGGGAGCAGGGTGAGGAGGCCGTGACCAGGGTGGGAGGGGTCAGCCATGATCTTTCTCACCCTCCTCAGAGTCCTGGAGTTGTGAAGGGACTTGAGGGAGGGCAGGGGATGGCCAATCACCCTCTCCGCGGAGCGTATCACCCGCTGCAGCTTGACCAGGTCTTTCGCAGCTGCAGCGGGGAACCTGGTGATGATGGAGTGAGTGAGGATAGACTCTATGATGGCCGAGTAAAACTGGGTCATCATGGCCCTCGACAGTCTGTATTTCCGCAGCTGACGAAGGAATTCTCCTTCTCAGAGTATTCTGAGGAACTCAGAATAAACACAGCCACAACAACCTCCCACCCGAAGGAGCCGGTTGCTTTTCAGTGAGCTCCCATAGGACACCTGCGCAGACTCGAGGTTGCTAACCATGCACCCGCCACAACCCTTCTGTCGGAAGTAAACCCCTTACTTCCTTCTCCATATCCAGCTGAAGCAACCCAAGCCTTTGCGTTGCTTCTTCTCTTCAGTCACCTGGAACGGCATCCTCACGTTTGTCGCCGCTTGTGAGGAGTACAGGTATAGTCTCTATATGTGACTGTTCCACCGTCTGCGGCCTCTGTTCCACATTCAGACGTTGTGGGCTCCTTTACAAACTGTTGCATCTCCCGATGAAGACGAGTCACATCTTCAGTCAATCGTGTGACGTTCTGCATCATGAACTCGTTGGCCTCTGTCAGAGTCTGGAGCTGAAGATCTCTCACTTCTAACTGGAGCTGCTTCTGTCTGAGCTCTTGTTCCACACTTCTCTGGGCGGTGTTCAAACGCGCCTCTTGCTTTCGGGCCAATCCTATGACACAGGTCAGTTTGGCCTCATGTGCTTCCACCTGTGTGTGCTCCATGGGACAAAGATCCTTAATCTTGGTTGGTTTGGCATGAACGGGTCCCTCACCTTCATCTGTCAACCGACACAGGAACGCATTCTTGGCTTTATGGAGAGCCAGGATCTCTTCGTCTTTAGTTGTCAGGTCTTCTTGAGCTCTTCTAAGCTGCTCTTCAAACCCTCGGCTCTCGGACATTCTGGCTTGGGTTGAGTCCTTCTCTCTGACCTCGGCCATCCTCAGATCTCTGCGCAGCTTGGCACAGACGTCGTCGTCTTGAGCGAGCTTTAGCTGTTTTTGCACTTCATTCAACTGACAGGTCTTTTCTTTCAGATCCTTCCTCAGGTCTTCAATCTGACTGGTCAGATTGGCCTTCTGGCTCGCAGCTGTAGCCTTTAGCTCTTCTATCTCTTTGAGACGGTTTCGCTTAAAGGAATCCCTGTACTGTTCCCTAAACCGGGTGAGGTCCATCTCCATCCCCCATTCTCGTTTAGCAATGAAGGCCTGCAACTCCTGGTTTTTGACTTTGCAGTCTACCAGGAGCGCACAACAGGCACACGGGTGTTGGTGGGCCATGTTATCGTCCAAACTCATCTTTGTGTGTGTTTCGGAGTCAGTTACTCGATGTCTGACTTGACAGACCCAGACCTACATGAACTAATGTCCTGCTCCACCTCTGCTGCTCTGACCCATCCTACTCCATCCAATATCTATATAATTATCTATCTAAGCTGTTTCATATTTGGAATAGATGTCACAAAGCTTAGATGGCCGTTACCATGGAAACCTGGAGTGGTTTTTACTGTGAGTTCTGTTGTCTCTGTTGTAAATAACATCAATAAAGAAATAGGAAATAACCTTTATTTGTGCCATTGTCATCGCTGCACAGAACGGGACGTGAGGACACAGATGAGATACATATATGTGGGACCAGAAAATAACATATATGTGAGACCAGAGAGATCTGAAATGGACCAGAAAGTGGCCAGACAGTATGAGGCAAGAGAAAGCAGAGAGATATCACAGAGAGAGAAACAAGAGAGAAGGACCAGAGAGGGGGACCAGAGAGGGAGACACTGACCTTCCCCTGGTCTGACTGCTCCCAAGTCCAGGCCAAGTGCCACAGTGATCATTCTCACATCCTGGATCCTTAAAGGAGACATATCCTGGTTTATTATATGACATGGACCGTACACGCGCTCTGATTGGCTGATTACCGGTCTGATATTTTCCCATCTCGGGCCGTTACCATGACAATTGGTCCGAACAGCGCGTATCACATTTGATATCTTTCCTTTGACCGTTACCATGACAATCTGTCTGCAGCACGTATCACACAAAACCAAGTCGGACATGAACATACTTCACAAATATCTCAAAAGCATTGGTAAAGACACAGACAAGAGTCAAATAATAAAACATTTATTATCCTTGCTTGCTCGGTCTGTACAGAGAAATATCAGACCTTGGCCTTTTTGCACAGACCTCGCCATGGCTCGGTCTGTACATTAATGGCGCGTTCAGACCTGACTTAACTTTGGCGTCAAAAGCGTCAGGTTTGCATTGAAAGTGAATGGTGAAGCGCGTCAAAAGCGCGACACTTGAAGCTTTTGGCTTGCGTCTCTTTCCGCGTCTTTCCCTTGACGCCGAAGCTGAGCAAAGCTGAGTTTTGGAGCTTTGACGCGGGGCTTCAACCAATCAGGAGACAGGGTCGCTCGAGCGAAGGATGAAGCCGGTGGAAGCGGGAAAATATCATATTCGAGATAATGGAGGAAAGAATTATAGTGGCTGTGAGCTCTCGCCCAGAGCTATATGCGATATCCAGTCAGCTATACAGGGACAAGAACAAGAAGGACCTAGCTTGAAGGAGGATCAGCGAGGAGATCAAGTATGATGGTAAGTTATCTAAAAAATTCACTACTGTTCATGTTTAGTAAACTCCGTTCAGGAGTCGTATGTACAGTCGCTATGATTTCTGTTCCCGCTCACAAGTCCATTTGTTCATATAGAAAAAGAAATAAAATAGAGGTGGAAAAGCCTGAGGGACAGGTTCATGAGGGAGTCCTTAAGCCCTTCCTCACACCGAGGCCATCTACTGGTAACATGCCAGCATCAAGGGCCGAGGAGGAGAGCGGGTACGACCACCTCCGAGAGGAAGAACCAGCAGCAGCATCAGCAGCAGCATCAGCAGCAGCATCAGCAGCGGCGGAGCTGTCAGATGCAGGTCTGTAGCTAAAAAACAATGTATGGAAAGAAGTCATGTGACTGCCCGCTTTTACTGTTTTTTGGTCATTATTGTTATCATTAACAATAGTTTTTGTATGAATAGTAAAGTTCCTAATAAGCAACTAGCAAAATGGCTCTTCAGAACAGAAGACCATATCATTTTAAGGCCTGCCTTTTAAATGCATCGACCTCATACTTGACCAGGTCCGGTGGGTAGTGACATCTCAGTGCATCTCGGGATGTGACCTCACAAAGAACCTGTGTTTTTAATGCATCAACATAAGCATACACATTACCTATAAGTAATGTATTAATGTAAAAATCATATTGACAAAGTTAAACCAACAATAATAACATCATTCAGTGATGGTACATGGCTCTGAAGTATGTTTTGTTTGTGTCCCTTATTGTGTTGTCTGTTGATTATTGTCTACTGTGTTATGTCTATTATTATCATTGATATTATTGGTTATTGTTATAGTATGGTATTAAAATTGTATTCTTGAAGATACAAAATTATTTAGCTGATTGATATTGAATCATAATTTCACTATATAATAATATAATATAAAAGTGATAAAAGCGATTATTTGACTATAGCACAAATATACATGCATATACATACATATAAACAGATAGATAGATAGATACTTTATTGTTCCACTGTAGAAGAAATTTAGGATAAAGGAAATGTGTATATAAAACTACCGCTGGTTTTGCTTTTGTTATATTTCCCTGTAAATGGCGACAACCATATATTTAAGGACTTAATGGGGGTGGGAGTAAATAAGCTTGTCTTCATCCCACTCCCTTCCAAGCTGTTTATTTTTATTTTTTTTCTTTCTCTAATGATGTGTTAATATTGTATAGCATCGTAATGTATTTCTTTTTATCTTGTGTTGTATTGTACCGGCTTGGACTTTTACCGGAATAAACTAAACTAAAAAATATATGTATAAATAAATGTACACATGCTGTAAATTAATGTCAGATGCAGGTCTGTTGCTAAAAAAAAAATGTATGGAAAGCAGTCATGCAGCTGCCCACTTTACTGTGTTGTTGTCATTATTGTTATTAGCAATGTTATTTGTATGAGTAGTAACGTTCTTTATAAGTGAGTAACAAAATAATTGTACACATGCTGTGAATTAAAAGTAATTTATTTAATAACAGAACAAGCTGATGCAGAGCCTGACTCAGAGCCAGGTGCTGGTGCTGGACCGTCCTCGGCTCCTGGTCCTTCCCCTGCTGCTGCACCTTCAGGTGTGTAGGAATTCCATTTTATTGTTGTGAAAGTATAAACGTTATATAAAACATTTAATATATATTTTTGAGTATGCGGTTATTAAATAGTGATATTCCAATGAAAAAAATACTGTTTTCAGAGGATCTAGTCATTTTATTTAACAAAAGCAAAGGATTTAAAAGTTGTTTAAAGTTGCATGTAGGATTATTATATCCTACATGCTCATGACTTTATATTTTTTAAGTCATTGTCCTGTGGTGTTTGCAGGTCCACAAAGGAAGAGAGGGAGGAAGCGCTCCACCCAGGACACCTCCGCCCAGGAGCTATCGCGCTTGGAGCTGGAGCTGATGGCCTACCTGCATCAGACCACAGCTGCAGCTCCAGCTCCAGCTCAATCACATAATGAGCCCCGTCTTCGGGACGGGGACGATGATGGAGGACTTGAAGCCGGCTGGGACATGGCAGGACGATGATGGAGGACTTTTGCACAGACCTCGCCACGGCTCGGTCTGTACATTAAGGCCACAGTCTGATATTTCTCCATACAGACCACGTGCTCGGTTAATAAGCCGTTAATATCGTCTTTCTCTCTTTTCTCCATGTTCCAACATTGTTTCTCACCAGTAACAGACGTGGAGTTGTTCTGAGATACAGCCACGCTAACAAGGCAACAGTAGCTCAGTTGGTAGAGCATTGGCCTTTGAGCCAGAGAGTCGTGGGTTCGAGCCAGACTTTGACCATCGACTCCCACTGTCTGCTGTTGTTGTGTCCTTGGCAAGACACTTAACCTCTGGGAACACCAGCCACAGTGGGGCGGCTGCGGCTGTAAAGTGCCAAACTGCCATTGTGTCCTTAGGCAAGACACTTCACCCCCATTACCTAGAATGGATCTATGGTGTGTGAATGGTTGGTGGTGGTCGGAGGGGCCGATGGCACAGACTGGTTGCCTCGCTTCTGTCAGTGTGCCCCGTGGCAGCTGTGGCTACAGTAGTAGTTTATCACCACTGTGTTTGGAGTGAATGAATAATGACATGTGAAGCATCTTTGAGTGTCCAAAAAAGCGCTATATAAAACCGATGCATTATTAATATTATCATTATTAACATACGGAACGTCAAACATGTCCCTGTCTTGCATGTAAAAAAATGAATCTGATGTAACAAAAATCAATTTACTTTATTTGATTTGAATTTTCTACCATATTGTTTAATAGTATGGTAACTTTGGATTCGATTTAAGTCATTCCAACTCTCTCTCCAAAAACATTGAGAGCTCCCTAATCAGAATCAGAATCATTTTTATTGCCACGTAAGTAACAAAAAGTTACCACTTGGAAATTGTTTTGGCAGAGAGCGTGCCACTTCGCCATTTGTGGTGTGTGTGCTAACAGTCTTAACTGTGGAAGTAATTATGAAAACCCAAAAAAGGTGGCTTTTGTATCAAACTTTCTCTGTTACAACAATTGTTTTTAGAGTAATCATTAGTTTTAAAATTATGATATTTTGTGTAAATAATGCATGTGTTTAATACGACTGATGTATTTGCTATGGCCCTCGTTTGTGCATCACTTTGTAGTAGTCATTTGTATTAAGCCTAAATGTGATAATGTGCATTTACTGATGACAGGGGGACATCTGTGAACATGAAGCTGGACACAGAAGACGCGTGGACTTGAACTTACGGACCAGATTTAAGGTCATGAGTACTTTTTGAGCACAAGCTCCTTGCCTCTTGAAATCCAACAGACCTGATCATGTCAGAGTTAATGGCTTATATGTATTTAAGATTAGAAGTAGTTAAATAAAAGCTATGAAATATGGCTTTTAGGTTCTTCTAATAAGACAATTAAAGCAAAACAAAGCTAGTACTGCTTAAATACCTGACATGTTTCGGCGGTACACTTCCGCCTTCATCAGAGGTGACACGTGATGGTGTGACGCGTCTCTTATCAGCTGTTGTTGCCGGAAGCAGTCAGTCTGACAGATCTCACAGATCCATCAGACTGACCACGTCCCCCGCCGCGCTGTGGTCTCTGGAGAAGTGAATCCCAAGTGTGAGCCAAGGTGAAGGCCCCCTCGTCTCTGTTGATGGTCCGTGTTCCCCGCTTCCTGATTTCGATCGCCTCTCGGATCCATCTTTTGTATTTATGTTCTTCTGTTCCTACTATTTTTGCATTGTCCCAGTCCATGATGTGATTCTCTCTTTTGCAGTGGTCTGATATTGCTGATTTGAGGTTTTCCTGTGTTGCCTTTTCCTTGGTTGCTCTTGTTAGTCGCGCTGCCGTTTCTTTTTCGCATTCCTTTTGATGTTCCTTTCTTCTGGTGCTAAAAGCTCTCCCCGTTTCCCCGATGTATGTTTTATTACAGGTTCTACATGGTATTTCGTATATGACATTGCGCTTTTTTTCCGGTTGTATTTTGTCTTTTGGGTGAACGAGGATCTGTCTGAGCTTCTTGTGTGGTTTGATTATTGCATTGATGTTGTGTTTTCCGAGTGCTCTCTGTATCTGCTCCGTGACCTCTTGTATGTATGGTATGGTGACTATGTCTTTGTGTTCGTTGTGTTTTTTTTGTTGTGTGGTCAGTCTGATGGATCTGTGAGATCTGTCAGACTGACTGCTTCCGGCAACAACAGCTGATAAGAGACGCGTCACACCATCACGTGTCACCTCTGATGAAGGCGGAAGTGTACCGCCGAAACATGTCAGGTATTTAAGCAGTACTAGCTTTGTTTTGCTTTAATTGTCTTATTAGAAGAACCTAAAAGCCATAAACATAAGAAGACAGAATGAATTTTCTACATTTAGCTATGAAATATGTTTCTCACGGATTGTGTGGTTGGATAAAACAAACGCATACATCACTTTTCATTGCACACAAAGAACTAAATCATAATTATTTTATTTGATTCCAGGTTGTGATGAGTACACACTAGAAAAGACAGCTGTGTCAGAGGCAGACGTCCAGGCACCTGCTGTTGTTACTGCTGCTGCTGCTGCATTTGTCTTCAGAAATTGAGAGATGTGTTCTAACTATCCATGACTTGTAATTAAAAAACAAATGAAAATATTGGTTGTTGTAATTTATATTGTAATCCACAGAAACTGGAGGTGATGGAAATGGATGAAGAAATGATGGCCTCTGGGAGACAGCTGCCGCTGGAAAAGAAATTCACACCAAAACAATCACTAAAGCCACCCTGTGTAATTTTTACAGCTGCTCCAAATGAAAAAACATGTTAACTAATAACAAATGTGACTTTTTTAAGAATATTTACCTCCACCATAATTTTTGAATTGCATTCATAGGCTTAGAATTTAACTTATATATATATTAGTTCAGGAAAGAACTGAAAGCAGCCAAGTCCCAGCACAGAGAACAACTACAGGAGCAGTTAGGTAACAACGATACTGCTTCTGTCTGGAGGGGCCTAAGGGAGATCACCAATTACAAGCCCAAAGCCCCCCTCTGTGCTGACGACCACAAACTGGCCAACAACCTGAACAGGTTTTTCAGCCGCTTCGACGCTACCCCGGACACCTCCCCCATCCCCCATTACTCTAACGACCCACTCATCAGCTCTGCACCTCCGAAAAGCTCCTGGCCCGGACCATGTGTCTCCAGCCACTCTGAGACAATGCGCCAGTGAGCTAACTCCAGTCTTCACTGACATTTTCAACTCCTCTCTGGAGTCCTGCCATGTCCCAGCCGGCTTCAAGTCCTCCATCATCGTCCCCGTCCCGAAGAATCGCTGCAGGACCTGGCATGCGCCTCCTGTTCTGCGACCCGTGGAGTGAGAGGACAAATGCCCAACAAAAAAAACTATTGTAAACCTCTTTGTGACTCTGGTCTGTGAAAGACGGTATATAAATAAAGATTATGAAGAAGGGGTGAGACCTGCACTCCACTTGAGCATCCCAGCAGACAATAGGTCTGTGACATGCTAAGCAGTTAGGGTCTGTAGCCTCAGCAGGGTAGTTAGACCTGCTCCCTTCTACATCAAGCAGACCGTAGATTGTTTATGAGTTAGTATCAGGATTAGCGTGTGGCTAACCACACCCATAGGTTATAAATCTCCAACGCGCGGTCCGAGAATTCATTCCCTGAAGAAGTCCGCTAGGTTGAGGACGAAACGTCGGGAAAACTTGCTAAGAAGTACAGATGATGGGTGAGAAACCTTCCTTTGCTTTGACTAATCCCTGTACGACTGAGAGCTTACACAAAGATTATGAAGAAGATGACATTGTCTGGGATCGCGTCTTTAATTCAGACAGAAGACATGTTTTATTGTCAATGGTAGAGACAGCACGAACACGAACACAGATACAATAGAATGCAAGTGTATTATACAGAGCGGAGGCATGGAGACCTCCAATCAGCAGCTTCCACGGTGCCAGTAGAGATAGTCAAAACATTAAGTGGAAAAGTACAGGCTTCTGCACATTGATAGAATGATGAGTTTAACTATAACAAAAGTTGCTTAAAAGTGTTATGAAATCTCACATTCCCCCCTCTGGTCACACATTCCCGTGTGACCATCAGGATCGATAAACAGCAACATAACATTATAACTCAATACTTCAAAAACTCAAACTCGGTACTTCACTCGGTACTTCAAAAAACTCAGAACTCGGAATACTTCAAAAACTCATAAAACATGTTCAGATCTTTCATAAAACTTGTCAACAATCTTCAGTAAAATACCAAACTTCATCAGTCGATGGTGGTTCCAGATATTGCTTTGAAAACAGTCTCTCCCACTTCTCCGTGTTGATTTCTTCAGGCTGCATTTGTGTCGAGCCATGAATTCTTCTGTGACGTGTCTTTCAATCACACGTTTCAGCTTCAGTGTCCAGATTCAGCAATTCAATTCAGTCCAAATTATGTCCAAATTCAGTAATCCAATTGTTCCAAATGGTGTCCATGCAAAAGAGGACGATGGTGTTGTCCATGTCTCAGCAGCTCACAGCAGGTCTGAATGGAATCAGGGGCTGTGCAGATTGTCCAAGTGCTGGTCCAGATGCATTCTCTTGAGGTTTCTCAGTTTTGGCTTGAAAAAAAAAACACTTTTTTGTGTAAAAAAAAAGAGGCTTCTGTTCTCTAGATGTTACAGACAAGGCCCGCATTCTTCCACCACTTGAAGAAGATGTGCCAAGTCTGGGATCGCGTCTTTAATTCAGACAGAAGACATGTTTTATTGTCGATGGTAGAGACAGCACGAACAACAGATACAACAGAATGCAAGTGTATTATACAGAGCTGAGGCATGGAGACCTCCAATCAGCAGCTTCCACGGTGCCAGTAGAGATAGTCATTTCCATGAAGTGGAAAAGTACAGGCTTCTGCACATTGATAGAATGATGAGTTTAACTATAACAAAAGTTGCTTAAAAGTGTTATGAAATCTCACAATTACTTACTTACTTACATCTCAAGTCCTTCACCTCCCCCCTCCTGGACCCCCTGCAGTTCGCC